GAATCCAACAGTTTCAACATCAACACCTCTCAATAAAACTTCAATTCATCGATAAAGTAATTTTAGTACAAAATGTTGTTATCGAATACTTTCAAATTTCAATGGCAGGCCAAGTAAGACTATCAGATGTATTTTGGTTTCATTCTTGGTTTTTCCTTATCACTTTAAATACATATGGTGATAAACTGATCCTTATAGGCTTACATCCAGAAATTCTATTGTACCGGGTGTACCACTGAGAAAGAACGCCGGCTGTATCTCGGAAACTATTTGCCGCACAGGTTTTGGAAAAAAATATTATGATAAAAGTGGCCAAGAGAAATCTCTGGAAATTATTTTCAAGTTTCCAGGACAGCCCCTAGAGGGCGTAATTGCATTGGCCAGTTTAATAAACGGGATTTTATGAATATTTGATATATCAAGACATATTATCAAATACACTTTTTTCATGTTCTCAAGTTGATTTCCAATCATTTCGATCAAAAAAATTGCGCTAGCTCTTTAAATGAAAGAGGGAGGGAAGGATGAATAGTAATGAAAAAACTCCCATTATTACAGTTTGGTGTAACGGAATTCAACGATCTTGGTCTCATTATGAAGGTTTTTTTGGTTCTTCGAATCACGAATCAAGTCGATTTAAATCCTGTGGTGGCCGCTAGATGGCATCGTTTGAAAATTCAGACAATTTTCCATTTTTCTCGGAAATTTCAAATGGAACCATAAATTCATTATACTCTAATATAAAAGTAGAGCAATCGAGAATAAAAATGGTGAAAACCGCGAATTAATGCCTCCTTAGGAACCGGTGAAATACTCGAAATAATATTATGAAAATATTCATCACAGGAATCTAACTTCAATAATCGTCATCAGAAATATCCTGTATCTATGAAATTATGATTTCAATAATTCATTCATTTTGGTTTCACAAACTGCTGTTATATCTCACAATAGTGAAGGAGACTCTTAGTAATGACATAGCTAATTGAAATGTATGTAGTGAGTATAGGCTCAGGAATGAGAAAAGGCAAGTTGGCTTTGAATGAAAGAAACGTCAAAATATAATTGAAGTTCCATTGAAAGTTTTCACTGTGGATTGCTTATTTGTCAAAATGCCGATAACGAATGAGGACATGCTAACAGTTTAAATTTCAATATTATTCCGAGTATTTCTCCGGTTCTTCAAGAGGTATCAACTCGCGGTTTTCACCATTTTTCTTCTCGTTTACTTCACTTTCATATCATAGCAGGAAAAATATATGGTTCCACTTGAAATTCTCGAAAAAAAATTGCAAATCGGCTGATTTTTTCAAACGATGCCATCTAGCGGCCACCACGAGATTTAAATCGAAGATCTGAAAAAATCCTTCATGATGAGAGCAAGATCGCTTGATTCCCGTTACACCAAACTGTAGTAATGGGAGTTTTTTCAAAGTACTATTCATCCTTCCCTCCCTCTTTCATTTAAAGAGCTAGCGCAATTTTTTTTGATCGAAATGATTGTAAATCAACTCGAGAACATGAAAAAAGTGTTTTTGATATGTCTTGATATATCAAATTTTCATAAAATCCCGTTTATTAAACTGGCCAATGCAATTACACCCTTAAGGGGCTGTCCTGGAAACTTGAAAATAATTTCCAGAGATTTTTCTTGGGCACTTTTATCATCAATATTTTTTTCCGAAACCTGTGCGGCAAATAGTTTCCGAGATACAGCCGGCGTCCTTTCGTTATGGTACACCCGGTACAATAATTGTGGTACGTCAAAAAACAGTGGATATAGTTTTATTCGTTTTGGGTGGATTACAAATAACAAGTATCGTGCTGTGCAACATGATTTCAAATAACAATAACATATTCTTGGAATTAATTCAATCAATGCCTACACTGGATATTTATACCAATTATCATAATGCTATACTATAACTACCATTCAATTTCCAACAGTAATTACACAAGTGGTGGTAATCTTCTGATAATTTCAACTAGATGCACGTATCTTTGTTGCTATAGAAATCTCACGAGTGTACGATTCTCAAATGATTGGCTAGAATTACGCATTGATATTGGTTCAAACAACGAAAATGTCACATTTTTGACATGTAAAAATAATAAACAGCAAAACTCGTTTCGTTAGATGAAAATATTTCAAGTGATTTAGTGTGTTGACTGGAATATTTAAGTTTAGTGAACAAATATTGCCAATTCTTCGAGATTCTTGTTTTGGTGACAAACTAAACTACGAAATAATCTCATAGGGAAGTGAAAGAAATCAGGATATTATCCATAGAAAAATTGTTAGACGGCTTGACAGTCTAAATCGCACTGCGAAACACTTTTAATTTTTTTTTTCAAAGGAAGAAAACTATATAGGAGACTAGTGTGTACGGCAATAGTAATTGCTTCATAGTAGCCACCTGTAAATTTAAACCGTCATCTGATGTTCCAAAGGCATGTTATTTCTCAATCTCAATTTATAACTTAGATCAGTTTGAATCGCGGCACGTGTGGATATTCACAAAGGAAACATTATCCGTTTTTATTTGCTTTTTGTTTCGACTTGTTATCATATGACAGGAGTATGTTCGGAATAATGGCAGCAAATAAATCGCTGAGCCGTGGATTCGACTCAGATAAAGAGATGGTACCAGGAGTTCAATTGGTATCGGATGGCATCTTATCTCGTTTTCGAATCGCGAAATTAACTGCATATCACCGCACAGGAAAGTGCCAGTTTTCAATCATTTTGCTTAGGAAAGTGATTGGCACAGATGCCGTTCGATAAAATCAATGTATTTGGGGCACATCTCATTTCGTTATCAGATGACGGTAGAAATCCAAAAAGCTCTTGACGGCGATTCAAATTTCTCCTGACATAAGTGCGTTTTATTTTCTCAATTCCGATACCGAAATCACTTAAGTCATTTCATTTGTCATTTAATAGATATAAAGATGTCACTCTTTCTACCACAGCCATTGGAAGGGTACAAATATTTGAATTTAACGTAATGGTTAAATTAATTCTGAATCGTCTACAAATTCGTCTATGGATAAGGTCATGGCATCTGAAGTCTTGAGTATGGAGTTCAGAAAAATATGAAGTAAATGAAGTGAGACAATTTTGAAGATACCTTGATTTTATCAAGCCACAAATACTTTGAATAATATTTTTTGAAAGATTTTCATATGAATGCCACCTGAAGTTACAAGTTCTACATAATTTATTGCATGATTGATTTGACATGTGGTTGTCAAAATGAGAATGACAAAATGACATACTTACTAAAACAACATATAGGTATGTACAAGTTTATGAAATATTACTGTTTAAAGAGTTGTTTTTTCGAAAACGTACATGAGCTTCTTAAGCAATGTAGGTGGAACTAACTCGCATATTTCCATATACTTATACTCCTAAACTGGCCATTTGAAAATTCTTGTTTTATTTGAAATAGTTTCATATAGTACGACAATATGCACACATTTCAATTTCATTCAGTTATCTGTTTTTATAACCATCCAGAAGCGTTTTATTACATTAATTACAGCTCTGGTGTAACCTGAGCGCAAGACAAATAAGTGTACATCACATAAGAGCGCAGATACAGAGTGATCAAAAAGTGATTTTCATCACTGGAAAGTGAAATGAAAACATTATGTCAGGCAAAACACGAGAAAGATATTGAAATCGCCTGAAAGAGTATAAATATTATCGAAAAAACGCCGGTACTACTAATGCTTAGCTCAAACATATAGTCAAGAGATAAGAAATGTTTACAAATATCCACCTAAAATGAAAGATAAAAACTAGAGGTATTACAACAAATAGACATTTTCTTTCAAACAACGGCTATCACTGTTGACACAAGATAATGAGAATGAAAACTTCATTTCGAAATTCTGGAACAACTGACACAAGCGTCATAGATATACTAGGTGAAATCATATTTAGACTATAGAATTCGTGGTCATCCAGTATGGTCATTATGGTATAAATTTAGTGATCTTCAAATATATGTAGTTTTTCAGATTTTAAAGATGATTTGTAAACACGATGCATAATGGTTGTCTACCTTTCTATCATTAGGTTTGTTCTTGTTTTAAATTGTTGAAACGGTCTCTTGACTGCGCAGAATCAGGTGCGCATCAAATTTAATCCTAAACAAGTGTGGGATAGTTTTGAAACCAGATAAACAAAAACGGGTTTTTCCGTTTTCTCATCGTCTTTCTCGCGAATATGCTGTGTCTTGACTCACGTGCATCGAGGGCATATTTAGGTTAGAGTTATGTGGATGGTAACATCAAATAATCCCAAAATTCCGGACCTGAACATAAACCTTCCCCACCAAAATATTCCTACACTTAAGGCTGTGTCTCAACGTCCACCAATTTGATCAAATTTGTTAGATGTGACGTCATTCTTTCCTGTTTGACTCACATGGTTTGAAATGTCAAGAAATCCTCGTCACACGATTTGAAGATTTTTTAACAAAAATATTGGTTAGTAGGTTGTTTGAAATGGAGAAAATCACAAGAAAAAATCATTCCAACAGATAACAGTTCAAAAACGTCTTGTTATCCGAACTTAAGGATAGGACGATAAGCTGGAGCTCATTGTTCATAATCTTAATTTTTTTTTCAATCATTCCATTCTTAATCTTGTTTAAAAGTGTATATATAGCAGTTCTTGCCCAGAGGCTTGTACTGCTTTGGACCGATTTGAAACTATCCCAAACTAGTTCGTATAAAACGAGAATACGTGATCTGTGGAATATGAAACAGTCTTGAGAAAACGCGAACACTTTTTTGTCACTGCTTCTGATGGTTTTGGGCTGTTAATTTTGTGAACGCGAACAAACCTATTGGTGGTACTAAAGAATTTTTAATTTAGAGTGAAATTGTTCATATTTGAAAAGAAAAATTTTGTAAACGATTCTACAAACTGCACTTTTTTACACTTTCTAGCTGCGCTCTCTTGTCTGTACGCTCAACCAACACACATGAGCCTTCTTCTATTTACAGCATATTATAAAAAATCTTTTTACATATCTATACAATCTCAGTATTGTCAATTATTCTTCGACTCACGAAAAGTACTTTTTGTTTCCGACTAACTATGTATCGTTGCTTGAAACTTAAGCTTCGTCTAGCGGTAACGAATGACATGCCTGTCGACTCTCGCATACACATAACAATTTGTACAGTATCAAACTGAAAATAAAATAATTATATGATAAAAAAGGCAGAAAGTAGAGGGCAGACCACTGACATAACTACTCTCTAGACCGCTATATGTCATATCCCAGCAATCCGAAAATCTCATCCAAATTGCTGGACTGAAAACGCTTTTGCTCAATGCGCAGGAACTCCTTAACTTTCATTAATGACAATGAGTCATGTCTTCTGGTGTTCGGAAACATAAGAAAGAGTGAGTAAGATATATGATGGGTCCTGAATTTAGCGGTCTAGTTAGTGATTCATGTCAGGGAGGCAGAGAGACAAAAAATAATATGTGGATTGATGACCATTTGCTCCCAATTCAGTTTTCTACTGCACCTGAATAGGTTGATAGTATCCAATAGATTTCTTTCTGAACAAAACGAAATGGGATTGTACACACGCCACATACCCATTTTATTTTGATTATTCTGCGTATAAATAGTGTTGAATGCAATCTTTCCTTATTTAAAATCATCAAGAATACTTTCTTCAATAATTAAAATCGACAACTTCAAAAAACGCCAGCTAACGATGACGCCATAGACCCTTCTCACGGGGCAATAGTGATATTTGTTTGATTATACTTCTTTATTCCTAAACAAACAATGCGAGCATAACCACATATTTGGACACTGTCTTTGTAACTAGTAATTATCTTATGAGATTCAATATGACCAATGAAAACAGTATTCATATTCACAGAAGACAATGGTTCCACCTGGTTTCTAATAATAACTCATTGAATACTTATATATCTAAGAATATCCTAATATTCCTAATAATGATCGAGATTTCATTCGAACCCAAACTATTTTGTTACCCTATCAAGAGCGTTTTGCTAAGAGTTCACAGGAATATCAAGAACAAAATAGTCTAACCTAACTCGTCTGTCACCTTCATCTTCAATTCCTATAATCTAGTCGAGTCTAACAAATACTGTGAATATTCAAATATAATCCTCAGATTATCTGATTCTTCAGTTATGCTTTGTGTTCTCAGTTATCTGCAGTATTTAGTACAGAAAAGTAGTTTAATATTTTGATGAATATATTCTTGCACTTACTTGTCTCACAGAAACAGAGAATGGATACGTAAGTCGAATCTTATACGAGTTTTCCCGCATTTTTCATGTTATGAAATATCGTGAAATTCAATTATTAATAAATTATTTATAGAATGTAGAAAGCTTTGAGGAAAAAACAGTTTCTGTCAGCTATCACGCCAATTTTACTAGATGCCTCGGTAGTCTAGGGACACAAGGCTGAATCTCATAGTACCAGATTACAAACATCGCAAAACAAAATCGCAAGAATGGTGATAGGATCTTCCTGGTATATCCGGATTAATCAAATCGTCAGGGATCTGGAACTGCCTTCAATCGTGCCCGTCATTAGAGAAACAAAACATCAAGACTTTTTAAAAAGCTGAGGTTCATGAGAATCAGCTTCTTTGAAATAAAGTTGATTATTAAAAAATCAATATCATAAACAAATTCGCTCTTCTCAAGTTTTTGTGAACAAATCACAATTTTTCGAGTTATTTCACGAAAATATATGAAATTTCACTATCTCCGTCCACTTGGTGTGGATCCCTATATAAAACTACTTGCCATTCTTTTTTCATCATTGGACACTGTAGATACGTGATAGATACTCACGATGTACTCAAATGACATGTTATATATACGAATATGAACTAGAAATATGATTTTTTTACGATTGCAAGAATTTATTTCTACCGTCGGTAAATAAGATGACTTCAATTTATTCTGAAGACACACATTGCACAACAACTTGTTTCAACCTGTGAAGTGGAAAAAGAATGAAGAAGGAAGCATATGATTTGAAATGATAGCGGGTGTAACGTCATCCAGAAGCCATTGGTCTATGCAATTGTTTATAAATCCAACCAAACTAAGTATTAGGAATTATAACCAATTAACAATTAAAAATTGAAAATTATCAAGGTGTTCATATATAGGTCTGAAAATTACGAATTAGATTAGAAATAATTCCTGACTGACGCTCAAAATGACAAATGTAAATGTATAAACCCATATATAAGTTCGGTCATAGTAAAAACTTTCATATTTTCATTTTTTTTTCAATTTTCAGTTTAGTTGAATCAATAAACCCAGCATATAGTTTGTGTTCCTGCACATTTGTACTTTGACCTCCATTCGAAATAGCCTACGTCTTTGATAATTGAACGAACGTCAACTGTTATGATTGTTCACTAGCTGGAAAAAATCGCCAAAAAACTAATTTTTCATGTCGATGATGACGTAACTGTTAAATTTTTTGAAAATGAGCTATACTCATCAGAAGCTAAAGAACGATAAACTGACTCCATATGGTGAAATGATGCCATATTTGTAGGAAAATATTTGGCTGATAGATCTAAGATACGTCGCGATGGTGGCATGACTAGCACCTACAGACAGGAAGAAATAAAGAATCATCGCGGTGTGGGAGCGATAGCGCGACTACAGCGACTATCAAACACCAATCTTCAGGTACATGCGTGACTGGTACTGGTACTGGTGGGGGACGTTTCCACGTCAGCAACTAGTCCCCAATGGGACCTTTTTGCAAACCCCAAGTGTTTTCAATGACTGATGTGGTTCGCTCAAGAGAGCTGGCTAACATCCTTTTCAGGCACCGCCCATCAGCTCTCTTTTCAGAGTTTTTCAGCTGTGTTTTGTAGGCTAGTAATGTACTCACTACCATATGCGCAGTGGCAGGCCTGCTAACTATCATCATTAACCCCCGAGACCGAGGTCTACTAAGCAGCTGGCCCGCTCTCACGCTCAGCTAGTAGTTTTTCCACACCCACCTACATACACCGTCCTACTTCTTCTCTGATGCTCACAACCACATCATCATATATTTCTGCGTGTTCTGTCTGTGTAGGCTTTGTTACTAACTCCATGCGCCACTTCAGGAGCAGCACTGTTAATTGGAACGCAACAGCGAATCGTGCAGGACTATCCCCAGCCGATGCTCCGAAACTTTACAATATTTAATTCGTAAATAAAATATTGAAAAAAGTACCTTGCCCGTGCTGGAAATCGAACCCACGACCTTGCGGTCCTGGGTCGTGACGTACTAGCTTGATTATTTGAGTTCCACGCCGGCGACCCGGGTTCAAAGCCTGTGACGGAAGACTTTTTTCTTTTCTGTTGTCGTGAGTGATTTTTCCAAGAATGTACTTTTTAGGAAGAAGGTTCATTTAGTAAATACTCACAATCATCACGACCGTACTATGTGTGACACACGTCCAAAATGTCCTTCTTCTGCTTGTACTCCGCATTGTGCATCGTGTTGAACGATATCGAGAGGCCGGTGCTGGACATGGCGGGCAGCTCGCGTGGCTTCAGGTTGTACTTCTCGGAGGGCGGTTCTACTGGGGTGGGCTCTATGGGGGAGGGATCCGGCCTGGCCTCACTGCCGAGGAGGGGTTGGGCGGTCCGCGTGGTGGTGGTGCCCAGGGCGTACTTGAAGAACTCGTAGGTGGACCAGCAGATGGCCGTCGCCGGCATTTGGTACATCGTCCGGGCTTGCAAACCTTCATAAAACGAATGAGATATTAAATCTTCAAACAAAATACAAATAAGAAATATTAACCGTCATTCATCCAGTCAAACAAAATTCAATATTCCAGTTTGGATTTTAATTTGGAAATAAATGGTATTATACAGCGTGACTCACTTCAAACGGCCCCCCTCTATATATACAGGGTGCCCGTTTTTCGAGCTCCACCATGGGGATCTCAGTTATTATAAGAGATACGAGGTCGGTTAAATGAGGGCGAAGTTGTGCATTTTCAGGCTGAACATTTATCTGTAAGAAATTTGTAATTTTCGTTTCTATTTTTTCATGCGAAAATCAAAAGGCCTAGGCGTTTCTGAGTAGGACATTCTTAAGGCACTGTTTCACAAGGAATCTGAATCTGTCATCGTTTTTTCCATGACGTTCTGTTATATCACATGGAAAAAATCCAATAACTTATGCCTCTAAATCCTTAACAGAGTGTCAGGTAAAATGGGCTCAAATAGAAAAGGAACTCTTTGCCATGCAATATGGTTGTGATCGTTTCCACCAGTATGTCTATGGTCATAATGTCAAAGTGGAAACCGATCACAAACCATTGGTTAGTCTGTTCAATAAGTTATTGCCAGAAGTACCGGCACGATTACAAAGGATGATGCTTAACTTACAGAAATATGATCTAACTGTCACATATACTCCTGGGAAATTTCTTTTCATTGCCGATACTCTTAGTCGTGCACCGGTGGATCCTCCAGATTGTGATGAGTTTTTGGAGGAGGAGTTGTGCATCAATTCAAATTTACTTGTCACTAATTTAGCAATTTCTCCATTCAAAATTGCAAAAATCCAATATGGCGCCAAGAGAAAAAACGAAATTGTATTTTGTAACTTTGGTATCAAGAACGTCATGGAAAATACAATGACAGATTCAGATTCCTTGTAAAATGTGCCTTAAGAATGTCCCAGTCAGAAACGTAAGTTTTTTGGTTTCCGCTTGAAAAAATAAAAACGAAAATAGGGAAGACCACTGATTTTTTATAACGACATTATCGTGAACTCTATACTGAAAAACTACCAGTGAATTAATTTTGAATTTTTTCATTCATGCTAAGACGATGAAAAAAATAAATTAGTATATGTCCATTTCAAAACACACAATTCCTGCGCCATTTGAAATTTCATCAATTCATTGGTGTGACTGGTGCGACGTCTTAGTCCCAACACGCCTATTGTCGTTGAACTGACCAATTACACTGCAACACTGCAGAATGACGAGGTATCAGAGAGAGATAGCTACAGTTCGGGACTAATACGTCACGACTCCACCATCATATTTGGCTGTTTGAAATATCGAATGAAATATGCTGATTTCAAAACGATATAGATTCGATTCCCTTCAACTTCAACTCATAATATTTATTGTACATATAATGTAAATCATGATTCGTCGATTGAAAGAGGTTTGTACGGATTTCTTCCCTCAGTGGTCTTCCCCATTATACATTTTTGTTTTCATCCAATAATTCAAATGACATCAAATTTTCTTGCAGATAAATATTCAGCATAAAAATGTGCAACTTTGCCCTAATTTGACACATTGCGTGTCATGTCTCTCATATATAGGTGACATTGAATTTTCCCAGGGTACTTCGTCTCTCATATTATGTGAGAGACAGATATTATACTCATCAGTGCGTGTCTCTCACAAATGCATCACGCTGCCGTACATTTTAAATGGGGGATTTTTTGTTGGTGGCCTGCTTATAGAGAACCCAGGAAACAAAAGAGAAAATACTGAATAAACCGTCGCTCATACTTGAATCACGTAGCCTCCAACGATAAATTTTCCTTTTTTTTCTGCTACAGAGCCACGCGAGGGGCCACGTCTCTCATATATGAGTGACACAACGAAATTGAAAAAATATTACCAACTACAAAAAAACACGTAAGTATCAAACAAACCTTCATTTTAACATAAAATGCTCACAAATAATAGAAAACTATTGTTTGGCCCCATAGCCAATCCCAAATCACGGCTTGGCACGGAATGTGTTAACTTACCTCGTATAATAACTGAGATCCCCATGGTGGAGCTCGAAAAACGGACACCCTGTATGTTATTAGTTGTGCCACTCTCACCAACCATTCACCTGTGTTTGGCGTTTAGGACAGTCGGCGTAAAATGTTAAACAATTCATCATCATCGCGTTGTCTACAGTGTGTCCCACTTACCATGCTCACCATGGGTATCTTTTTAACGGTGAGAGATACGAGGTCGGTTAAATGACACCAAATGTGGAGTTTGTTAAGGCCAACTATAATGTGAAAAAATATTTTGATAAAATCTATTCGTTTTTGTTTTATAAGCAAAAAACAGATTTTGATCATTTTCATGTCTCCTCCGTAACTTCTTTATTTATGAAAATATTCGAATAGGAATTTCACATTCTAATGGCAGTTTTTCAAAGTGATTTCGAAAAAAATATGAAATGTATACCAACTCTTCTAGAATTGGAGATATCAGCACCAACTTTAGTTTTTCAAATGTAGGTCATAGCTCACTATGACTAAGTAACAAATAACTTTTTTTTCTCTTACAGATGATATATCGCAGTAATAGTTTTGTGTTGATAACAACGAAGTTATTGTCATTTATACAAGAACAACAAATTATTTGGAAGCCGCCATCTTGAATTTATAAATTTCAACAAAAAAATCATGATCTCCGACCTCAAAAACCCCCGCTTACCAATTTTGAATGGAATCGGACCAAATCTTGTCCGCCATCTTGAAGCAGCCATTTTTTTTTAATTTCAACAAAAATTCCATAACTCCGATTAACCTGAAATTTGGCAGGTGTTCATAATTTCGGTGACAATACATTATGGAATTTTTGTTGAAATTAAAAAAAATGGCTGCTTCAAGATGGCGGACAAGATTTGGTCCGATTCCATTCAAAATTGGTAAGTGGGGGTTTTTGAGGTGGGAGATCATGATTTTTTTGTTAAAATTTATAAATTCAAGATGGCGGCTTCCAAATAATTTGTTGTTCTTGTATAAATGACGATAGCTCTGTTGTTATCAACACAAAACTATTACTGCGTCATATCATCTGTAAGGGAAAAAAACGTTATTTGTAACTTAGTCATAGTGAGCTATGACCTACATTTGAAAAACTAAAGTTGGTGCTGATATCTCAAATTCCAGAAGAGTTGGTATAAATTTCATATTTTTTTCGAAATCACTTTGAAAAACTGCCATAAAAATGTGAAATTCCTATTTGAATATTTTCATAAATAAAGAAGTTACGGAGGAGACATGAAAATGATCAAAATCTGTTTTTTGCGTATAAAACAAAAACGAATAGATTTTATCAAAATATTTTTTCACATTATAGTTGGCCTTGACAAACTCCACATTTGGTGTCATTTAACCGACCTCGTATCGCTCACCGTTAAAAAGATACCCATGGTGAGCATAGTAAGTGGGACACACTGTATATTGTTATTCAGTCTGAGATGGGGAAAAATAAAGGACACCCACCTCTGAAATAGCCGGACACGCCTCCCAACCTGTACACCGTCTTGATGGCCTGCGTCAGTCCCGAGGCGGTACCCGCCTGCTGCGTGTTCAACAGTGTCTTGCAGACGTCGAGCGGCGTCGTGACGGCGGCAGCGACGCCCCCCGCCAGTGCGCCGCTGGCCATGTGCGCCGCCGGATTGTAGGACCTGTCGCGGTTGAGGAACTGCTGCGACAGCTCGTAGATGACGAAGTGGATGCTCTGGAAGGGCACGTTCATCGTCAGCTGCGTCGTGTACGATCTGCAAGAGGAGGAAGAATTAATAGTGCATTGTGACAAAAACTTAAAATACAGTTCTCAACACACTAAATGGACCACGCATAATTTGACTCTATTTCGAAGACCTGTCTTTTTTGAAAAAACTGACCGATCTTCATGCGGTTTTCGATATCAGATGTAATATTTCATCGGCTTCAAAGAGAGCTAGAACACTCTAAAAAATTCTGCAGAAAATAACTTACACAGGGTGTAAAGTGGAACCATTACACTATGGTCTACATTTCCAATGCTGCCAGAACTCGAGAAATTTTTTTTCATCGAATGTCAGTCATATTATGATACAATGGGACCTCATCTCGGGAAGTTTTCGTGATTTCTATTTGTAAAACTATTTGTCTTTCATTTTTGCAATACCCCTTATCCAAATTCAATCATCTGGGGCTCGTTTGAAAGATAATTTCACACTTACTTAAAAACTTAATGAATGATAGATACATGTTTGCATTTTCTCTGCTTAAATCACAACCAAAGAATCGAAATAATACTCACAACTCAAAACCTTGGTTCACTCAGTGATGAGCATTTTGAAACTCAGGTCATTCATTATCAACGAATAATCGTAGGGATAAATATAGAAATTGTTATTCGAATTTTCTTTCCTTTTTTTCTTGTACACTACTCACACTCAATTGGTTCTTGAACTCATCAGCATATATGTATACAGTTTATTTTTTCACTCTCTTATTTTTAGAATTTTGAGATATAGTATTATGGAAACAGATTGATATAATTTTTCGGTTTTTCAACTCGAACTCCAACCCTTGTAATAAGAATTATAATTCTTTTGATACAATAAATGATCTATCTATCTATCTATAATACTCACAAGCAAATGAACCATTTCATAACAATGTACAGTTGTATTCAATGAAAAAGCGTTCAAGTATAGGTCGCGTGCACGATGACCGACCCTGGAGGTAGAATATTGAAACACAACCTCACTTTTTTACTTTGTTTACACAGGAATCAAAGGATTGAAATAGTTTTTCACAATTATTTTGGCATACGAATCGTGTTTTTCGGCTATTCGTTAATTCGCGCATGCCATCAAATTGTGCTGTTGTACAATGCACAAAAAATGCAGCGACAGACGAAGGAATCCGGTTAATACATCATGAGTCAAAAGTAAGTACTTACTACAGTAAGTTACTCACATGAAACAAATATTCGTTTGTGTTTGCTCAGCCTGCTGAACTCGATTTTTTTATCGATATACCTTTTCATGGAACTAACAGAGATAGTTATAAAAAAAACAAGTTTAGCAGGTTGAGCAAACACAAACGAACAGGCCTAATGTTTTCATTGTCAAATTTGATAATTTCTCTGATTTCTCATCGGAATTCCTTCTGCAATAGGAGCTAACAGAAATATTCGTGAAATTTATATAAGAATGCAAGAAGATTGGATTCATGTAATCAAACGGGAGGACTGGTCTGACATGCTGACGAAATATGATCGTGTGTGTTGTAGACATTTTCAATCTATAAGAAATGACTAAATTTCATAAAGAAAACTATGTGAGATTACTATTCACCTAAAAAATTATATTCCTTCGTCTCTCGCAGCATTTTTTGTGTATTATACAACAGCACAATCAGAAGGCATGCTTGAATTGATGAATAGCGCAAAAAACACGATTCGTGTGCCAAAATATTGTGATTCCTTTGATTCCTCTGTAAACAAATAAAAAAAGTGAGGTTGTGATTCAATATTTTACCTCCAGGGTCGGTCATTGTGCACGCGACCTATACTTGAACGCTTCTTTATTAAATACAACTGTACATTGTTATGAAATGGTTCATTTGCTTGTGAGTATTATTTCGATTCTTTGGTAGTGATTTAAACAGAGAAAATGACATTATTGACTATGTATTTAATAGATTAGATATATACTTCATTGTCCAAGAAATAAATTCTCATTGACAAAGTGCGATAAATAATATAAACACATGCACAAAAATAATATAACATATCCTTGTGTAAGAACTCTTGTGATACCGAGGAATTAAACCATCAAGTCGATTCCTATGACACAAGAAACCAAAGGAATATAAACATGGAGCCCACAAGAAAGAACACCTCTTTAAATAACCCACTGATTGCCTGCCCGTGAGAGAAGATGATAACATATAAGTCCTATTGATGTCATGATCAATATGTATTTCTTCAAATCAAAAGATGATTCTACACAAAAAAGGTCATGACATTTTCCTAATAGAGTGATACTTTTGAGTGTTAAGTAATATTTGAAAAAAATTGTGTTTGATTTTTTCAAAATCTTGATACATTGGAGAAAAATTATTATTGAAGAGGCCGAACTAGATGGGTTTTGATGAAATATTCAAAATTTTTCGAAATCCGGCAGGAGCCTTCAAGTCAAATCTTCTGCAGGCCTAAGATGCTCTTGTCCATATGTACTAACCTGTAGAATGCTCGGAAACCTTCCTTCTGGTAAATGCTGACGGCGCATGTCAACGCCGTTTTGTAAGGAGAATTGATCATCTGCATCCTTTGCTTCACCACTGGAACACAGGAAAGTAACATATTATTTTTTAATAGATTCCCACCCATTCTTCACTCTCATTTCCTTCTCCTTTAGAAATATTATATCCCATAATAAAATTTTCATTTAGTATTTCCAAAGTAAATTGAAGCAACTCCAGCAAAAAACATTCGTCGCGGCCCGTTCGGAGGTCAAACGGACCGAGCGCTTCAACTGACTTTGGGAAGATTACATTGGCTTTATTGATTGGAAATATTGTAGTTGTTTTTAGATTCATTGGAAACTTACCCTCTGCAGGGTTCATGAAACCATCATGAATGAGTGTGGCTATGCATCCAGCAGAACCTGCAAAATAATAAAAAGTATGGTTAAAACACTGAACGTTATACAGTGTGACAGCTTTCATTATGTAGATAATTTGTTTTACTTTCATTGCTTTGGACAAGACGGTAGGCGTCTAGTAGTATTTTTCAAGATTTTATTCAAACATTTGATGAGACAGTACAGCAACTTCTCAATAGATTTTATACCTCCTGAGAGAAAAACTCCTAGGCAACAGATATTCTTCCCTCAAGAAGCATGGGAGAGTTATTTTGTTGAAATACATAAGGAAATATTTTTTCCTACGGCCACCTATGGAAACAGCATAATATAGCATCTGTGTTGTTTATCAGACAGTATCTTTTCTCACCATAGCAATGCGAAAGTGACAACGAACAGTCTGGCAATATTCCCAGACGATCACGTGATCGCTTTTTGGTCTTTACAATGTGTGGATGATAATAATACTGAATTATCATATTTCATTACTTATTTTCATTGCATATACATTCATTTTCGTTAGTTTTAATTTTTCCCCATGGTAACTAATAATTCTTTAGGTTTCGGTAGAGTTCCTAAATGTACTTGACCCCGCTGTTTTCACGTTTTTGTATATTAGAGAACGGGCACTATGACAAGCACTGACAATTAGACATAACCAAAAATAAATTGGTGGAAAAAGCGGAAACTGACAGTACACGGACGTGCATGACACAAATTTCAAAGGTTTGACAAATTGAGAGAATTAGGAAAAGGATGCAAGTTTGTGTAGTTTCCAACTGCAAGTTTGTGCAGTTTCCAACTGTAAGAACATGGGAAATCAATTCACTCTATTCGAATGTCCATCGGATAACGTGATTCTACAAAAGTAGAAACAGAATATGATGCGGCCGGCATGGAATATAGGTATAGGTACACTTCAGAACGGAAGATTTTATGTTGAAGAATAGGATCGTACTGAGAGAAAGAGGCGACCCCAGAATTTATAAACTGAGCGAGTATCGAAAAGAACCTAATTCCAATTTAGACTCTGGTTATTGCTTGTGATGGAATGATGAACTAAAAATTTCCTAGGAAAACTATGAATAGCTAGAGAATTGGACGTCCTGATTCCGAAGAATCCGAAGTGATTTTCAACCTATTTTGACTCCATGGGCGTTGGCGAGCAGTGTATATCGCTGAAGATGACCCCACTTGGTCATAGAGTGTATTTTTGGTATATCTCTCGTTCCAGCAAATTTCAGGATCCTTACCCAACGATTACGTAAGATACAGGGGTGTTTCCATTATAAGTGGGTCACATTGTATATACCTAAATATAATAGACTCATTTCATAGGAATAGTACATGTATTTCGTTGGTATATATGTACATACCTACTTGATATTGACCTCAATTGAGGTCCTTCAGCCTTATCAGTCAATATTTCGAGAAGAAATAATTTTCTAATCAATTTATCGTACCCTTTTACCCTCTCGAGGAGACGCTATGCACTCTCATACAATAATCAAAGACAGAGAACGATATATGGATGTACTCTTCCCAGGACTTGTGGAGGAAGGAAGTTGCGAGGATCCTTTATCTAAGCGAAAAACATATTTTTGTCCTTTTCTGGCAAAACATCTGATTTGCTTCAGAATCGTTTGTGGTTATGTTTGATTGGCACTGCTTGTCTAGTGTCCGTACAATAGGTCGCGTGCACGATGACCGACCCTGGAGGCAAAATACAAAATACACAACCGCATTCTTCTGTAAATTATTGAAACACAACCTCACTTTTTTATTTGGTTACAGAGGAATCAAAGGATTGAAATAGTTTTTCACAATATTTTGGCATACGAATCGTGTTTTCTGCGCTATTCATTAATTCAAGCATGCCTTCGCATTGTGCTGTTGTACAATGCACAAAAAATGCAGCAAGAGACTAAGGAATATGATTTTTCAGGTAAATAGTAATCTCACATAGTTATCACTATGAAATGTTGTCATTCCTTATTAAAATTCCTTCTGCCTTCTGCCACTCCTGCAATACAAGCTAATACTGCTAATAGATTGAAAATGTCTACAACACATACGATCATATTTCGTCAGCATGTCAGACCAGTCCTCCCGATTGATTGCATGAATCCAATCTTCTTGCATTATTTTAGAAACTCCAGGTGTATTTCTATTAGCTCCTATCGCAGAAGGAATTCCGATGAGAAATCAGAGAAATTACCAAATTTCAAAAATGAAAACTATAAGTGAGTGACTATAGTAGGTAGGTACTTACTTTTAAATCATAATGTACCATCCCGATTCCTTCATCTTCCGCTGCAGTTTTTGTGCATTTTACTTTTTACAACAGCACAATGTGATGGCATGAGCGAATTGATGAATAGCGGAAAAATACGATTCGTATGCCAAAATAATTGTGAAAAACTATTTCGATCACTTGTAAACAAATAAGAAAAGTGACATTGTGTTTCAATGTTTTGCCTCCAGTGTCGGTCATCTGACAGTTCTTGCACGCAACCCATAAAGAAAAAACGTCAAAACAGCATTGCCAAGTACATTTAGGAACTCTAGGTTTCGGTATTTGTCATAATCTGCGAGACATAACCTCATTGCTGTCAATGCTATCATTGCTGTCTACACTGGGGTGGACTCGGGTCTATACACCGTCGTGACTCGGCACTCTGCTGTATTTTTGGTTTCCTGGTTACGAGATGCGTGGTAGCTCTCGACAACGAGGGAAACTTCGAATTTAATATAAAATATGATTTCCGAACCGTATCACCTTCAATTTTTATTCTTCGGGAAGAAATAATGATTTATTTACCGATTAGATTAATATTGACATAGATAAAAGACATATGACAAGTTATATATGTACAGTATGATGCAAATGTATGGAATAAATTCATTTCAAAACAAGACGACTTCCGAAAAAAATCCAAAAAGTAGAGTTCAGAACTTTTTTATCGATGTATTTTTTCAACTAGACGACCCTTCGATGTTCAATTCTCAGTAGAAGATCTCTGCAAGATTCAGTTAACCAATTGATAATCCATTTTAATTTCAATCTTCTTTTGCAAAATTTTGACTATTGGATAGACGATCAGTAGACCTTTCAAACGAGGTGTCACATGACCCCTGTTTGTATTTAAAAAAACCGTCCATTACGTAATTACTTCAACTCCGGTGACGTAACATTTCTCATATGAATGGCATGAGATGAGGTTTCAAAAATTAAAACTCACGTGTTTTTGGAATTTCTTCAAATGTCGCCCATTTCTGAAATAATGAATTTATTCCATACATTTGTATCATACTATATTAAAAACTTAAACTTAACTTAAAATTAACTTGAATGTTCGAAATTTGAAGTTGTGTTTTGTGTTGTAAGTTAAATATTTATGGTCGTGGGAAAAAAAAATATGTCACTTTCCACACTAGTTATGTAATATACTATATTTTATTACCAAGAACAGTGCTTTAATCGGCTCTTATATTATTCAAATTGGGGGAGGAAAAAGAGAGGAGTATGCTAGACGTTCTCTATAAAATTAGTAAAATGTCAAAAGAACTAATCGGAGTTCTAGATGAAATAGTAGGCAAATTTCCTGAATATTCTCATCATTTAATATTAGGTACTAAGTAATAAATTGATCATGGAAGTACATACATTGTGCTGACATCATTAATTAAATACCGATAAAAAAAGGGTCAACGGGGTCATCAATGACCGATCAGTTCTGACATGAACACGACGAAGAAAAAAATCTGTCTGTCATTTTCTAGATCTCTATAATCAACAAACGTGAGTTGATAATATCACGCAAGTACATCCAAGATACCGTGGATCAAAATTTGCAGTATCACTGTATTTTATCATTTATAATGATACAATAGTCTACTCAAGGTCAACATGTTCAGATTTCGTAGTCTACTTTTAAAAACATAACAATCACATCAATTGTAGTTGAAACTAGGTAGACAACTATTTCAACTAAAAATCCTAACGGCTGCAAATCCAAGTGACAGATTTTCGAGCGTGATTTCAACCAGTATGCCTCTTGGAGGGTATCATTACGTATACAGAGTGTTTCCGGAATTGGGGCGATCAATGAAATGGATGACAGAAGACGAAAAAACAAAACGAAATGAAGGAATACATTCGTCGAAAAAAAATATTTTAGTGTTGAAAATGAATATTCTCAGATAAATTATGAACATACAAAAAAATGGATATATATTTATATAAAACAATACATTGAGAATTCGCATTCTCTATGTGATGAGAATATTTACTCTTTTTTTCAGTTAATTCAATAGAAAACAACTACTTTCCTGGCTATATGCCACGACGAACATTGAATTATATCTATTGAACACACACGATAAGAGTTTGAAAATAAAATATAAAAATTTCTGAAATTGAGAATTTGCATTCTCCTTCAGACAAAAATATGTATATACACACATCATTCTGAATATTCAACAGAAAACAAGTAGTTGTTTTCTATTGAATTAACTGAAAAAAAGAGTAAATATTCTCATCACATAGAGAATGCGAATTCTCAATGTATTGTTTTATATAAATATATATCCATTTTTTTGTATGTTCATAATTTATCTGAGAATATTCATTTTCAACACTTTCATACCCAATCAGGGGGTTCAAACTTGAACGATGGAAACTTGTGATTTTTATAGACCTCTAATCGCAGATTCGTGATAGAGTCTCAATTCAGAATTCATTTCCACGCCCTGTATGATGAATGTCAATTTATCATACACCCAAAAGCAAAAATATTTTAGATGATCAGTTTGCCTGAAATTTTTGTAAATCATTGATCAGGGGTCAATAGCCCAACCCAAGCGTTTGCTTTCGGTGAGCTTACAAGCACCGGAAGTATCGATGGCTTTTGCAATGTTGCTGGACATTCAATAATAGTTGAAAGATGTAGTTATGGTGGGAGCGCAGATTTTTGTAACAATTTCGAAACAATTTTTTCTTGTGATTTATCGTGTTATCATGT